CCTCTTCAAAGTCAGAGAATTTTAATAAAAGGGTGCGATTTTCTTAGAATGTTGTGTATTCTGAAAACAAAACAAAGTTTAGAAGCATTACTTAAAGTTTATATGCATGAAAAATGCAATTATTTTATATTTAAAATTTTTGAGATTTTAAAAAAAAAAATCGGGAGGGGATATGTAGATCGAACCCAGCTGAGCACAAGTCTACTTCGGACAACATTGCAAGCAATATTGTTCATATATATATATATATATATATATATATATATATATATATATATATATATATATATATATATATATATATATATATATATATATATATATATATATATATATACCTAATTCTGAATGAATAAAGAAGAAATGTTTGTCACACATGTAACAGTTGTGTTTCCCAACGCTAGAGAGAAATTATTAGGTGGAAAAAGACTTTCAATTAACACTAACTTATAGAAATATATATGCTGTCGACACTGACTTGTCTGTCAAATATACACATATATATATATATATATATATATATATATATATATATATATATATATATATATATATATATATATGCATGTGTGTGTGCGTGTATGTGTAACGTACGTAAAAGATGATACTGGAGGGTTTGACAAAGACGATTCTAATGCTGAGTAAACATTTACATTAAACATTTTTCATTAGCAAAACTACAGATTCTGAAATAGCGTTTTGATTTGCTTCGTTGATCAAGGAGTGAATTCGACTTTTTAGACGTAGGTATTCAGAAAGTTGCAACAGTTTTATTTTTCTTCAGTGCGTTGAATACATAGAGTACAGGTTTGCCAGTTGTGCACAGGTATCGTCCCTTGGTATCCTCTCTATTCAAGCTATCTTTTTTACTCTATACAATATTATGCTACTATTTTTATTATCATTACCTATATCTTCATGTGATTTTCTACCTCTTCAATATTTTTGACCCAGATTCAGACAATTGTGGAAATGTTTATAAAAAATTACATGCAGTTTCACGTGTATCGTAAACGTGGCATTGTACATCTTCTATTTTCACTTGCAATACTATTGCATTGTAGAAATGATTTTATAATATTTAAATGTGATCATACTGATATGATTGTAAATGCCCTCCTAAGGGCCCTTAAATGGTGAATAAACATATATGTATATGTATGTACTTTACCTTTAAACTGTGCTTGAAATGAAAAAAAAATTATATAATTTCTGATCTTGATTTCATAATGTTGTTTATCGTTTGATGCATTCCGCTATTTCAATATTATCGAACTGCACCTGTTGAAGCTTATGATCATTATCAGATTTAAAACAGCTGATGGAGAGTATGTTACCTCTCGCCCAATTATCACCTCATGATAACCTCTTGTAACATCTTGCTTCTTGCTTGTTCTGTTCCCATTGGCTAATTGATCAACCAATCGTCGAGGAGATGCTGAATGGTCATTACACCCGACGCTCTGATCCTATGGGATGCCATCGCACACGTGCATTTTATATGTTTCTTACAAATTCGCCTGTGAGCTGACATTTATATCCCGATTTTTTTGAAAAAAAATTATGCATCACCTTTTTTGTGGACACTTTGTTGTACCGCCATCATTGGAAAGAATTAAATGCTGAATACAACAAGACTTTTCTCCTAAAGTATCTACACTGATTGTCATTAACAAACTTTATGGCATTTCCTTGTTAAAATAATAAACTTCAGATGGAAGATAATACTATTTTTAAATTCTTGTTAACATATATAATTATATATAGTTAACATAGTGTGGGGTTTATTGTACTATTGGTCAAATTATACATTATCACTAAACTGGTCATCAAAACCCGCGGTAATCAATGCAAAAATTTATTTATTTTTTTTTTTTTTTCGAGGATTTTTCAGCAACTTATTTTGCTTTTCTCCCAGATTAAGGTTTAATTTTCAGTGAAGGAGGGAAGACACCTTGAAAATTATTTTCAAATCTAGACCAGCAAAAACAAAACTGGCAAACATACCAAAAAATAAAGTTATATATTTTTCTTGATTGTATATGTTGTTATGCCTCGTGTTCATTTGAAAAAAAAAAAGTTTAAGATACATTAGCTTTTTATATCTTTATAAGAAATATAGGACATATTTGAGGTCAAAATTAATGAAAAATTTCTAAGGTTTGGAGCACCGTGTACACCCCACCAGATCCGCCTCTGATTAATTTAGTGTTAAGTAATTTAGATTCACGTGAATAACAAAGTTAATCCGTGTTTTGTGCACATTGTAAGATTCGTTGTTGGCTAACTTTGTTATTAAGTCAAGCATAAATGCAGTGTGCACATTTTTTTGACCCACCCCCCCCCCCCCCCGTACGCTTTAACGCGTAAATAGATTCATGCGACTGTAATGGTCCCTTGGTAGCTTTTTTCTTCTTTTTTTCTTAATAGTTTTTATTTCAGTGTATGTAAATATATACCCATCTGACAGGTATATAATGGTTGTTACTCGCACCAGATAAGCATATAAATATAATGGGTTCTCCTAAGTACAGGCAAAGAGAGATTACTCTGAGACACCATAATCAATTTATCCTTTCTCTTGTTATGTTGCTTTGCTCATAGTAAATCACATACACGTATACCAAAAGTTTAACAGCACATCTTCAGGCATAATATTTATTTATTTATTGTGCATGTGATTCTGGTGGTGGTGGTGGTGGGGGTGGGGGGGGGGGGGGGGTTTCACATGATATTGTAATGGAGCATGTGAAGAACTAGAATCAAGTAGCGATTTATTTTGATAAAGACCAGTTTAAAACCAGAAATCAGCGGATTTTATAATAGTTGTATTTCATTTCAAATAATTCATATCAAGATGGCAAAGGTCGGAATGCTAACAATCAACACTTTTCTTTTCCTAAATTTTTGTTTAAGGTCTGACGACACCTTGCTCGAATACCTGTTTTTTTTTTTTTTTTTCCCTCTCATCATAAAATATATAACAAATTAATCATAATTACCATTATTTTGTGATTTTTAAACTGTTTTCAAAATATCTTCGTAGATATAGACACCACAAATTTGTGATATTGGCAATGCCAGTGATTTCCAATAGGAAATAACGTCTTCTAGTATCTTGCACAAATGCCTGGTAAGGTACCTCAATATTTTGTGAGGAAACTTGTAAAGTAGCAATACTTCAATGAAAAATTCTTGGGAAAAAATATATAATATTGAGAAACCTGTCATCTGACCTTAAGTTAATTGTATTTGCAGACAAGTATTTAGCCTAACTGTAATTTCAAGCAATATTGAGGAGTGTGTGGGTTGGGGGGGGGGGGGTTAGTGAATGAAATGAACTTTGAAATGCAAATATATTATTATGAAATTGATGTATTTAATAGGTTTTAAAATACTTGAGGATACGCCCTGATCCTTTTTACCCATGTATACTAGTCATGAAATGCTAACGCTTCTTTATTCCTGCATGATTGAACCTTCTTTCGTGAACTTAGAAATCTGAAATACATTTTTTTTTAAATTAATGTGCTTTTTTAAATAAAAACTGTATTTGAGATATGAGGTTTAGGCAAGTTCCCAAGTTTTCCAAGTCAAGAGAACAAAAAGTGTTGGAGGACTGGTCGCCAGCCGAGATTCCTTTTTTGTTTGTTTTTGTTTGTTTATCAAGTTCAGGTAAACATGATATTTCCTCTGCATACGCTTTACCAAAATTAAGATGTACAGACATTTTCCAATCAGATAAATAAATTGCATTCTTGAAGAAAAAATCCTCAATGTCTTATGGAAAGCAATTAGCGAAATTTCCCAACAGATAAACAAATATTAGCAATCAATTGATTTTCCACATGCATGCACTCTTTTGCTTATTAATGTATTTTGTTTCCATACGCTCAGGAAATAATACAGTTGTACCATCTCACGATTCAGACAAGAGCGAAGTTCAATGTTTGGAAGCAATTTTATATTTATTTTCTTAAAAATGTTTATATGAAATCGAAATTTTTTTTCTGCAGGAAGTGAGGGCGACACTATAACCAATCATATACTAATATTTGTAAATACTTAATGTAATAACTCTGAGAATTATCAAAATAAGTAGTTTGATAAATATTTGGTATATAATTATTTGATAAATATTTGTATTGAGATAAAAATCAGAATAAAAACGTTTCCTTTGTCAGGATCTGACACTTCGATCGATCTTTATAGCTCGATATTCCCCCAGCACCTCTAGTTTGCTATCACGAGATAAGGCGTCTTCGTCAGCGAATTTCTAAGTCGTATTTCTAAAGGGGAGGTGGTGTCTCGGTGATATATCAAATCTAAGTACGATACTGTTAGACTCAAAGAGCCTATCTTACCGATACTAAATCTAAGCAATACTACTGATGATTGTACTTGGTTGTATATCTTCTGTTTCTCACTTTTCACGGTTATTTGTGAGAAGTGGGAAACAGAGGAGACAGCCAAAGTTCTTATTTGTGAGAAATTATATCAGGTACACTGTACATGTAGGAGGAGAACACGAATGTCTATAAACTATATTGAATTCAGTTTTACAAAGCAAAAGATAATAACATGTACACGCCATGTTTCTCTCCAAGAAGGCTTCGATTAGAATCTTCAAATTCTAGTTTTTTTAAAATCTATTTTCATTTTCAATTAAAGAAAACACAGAGCATCGCAGTGTAATCTGGAACGAATGTTTCCATGTTTTTGTAATTATCCAAAGCAGAGGACATGCGTCAGACAAAAATGGCGCCAAAATGTTAGCGTTTGTTGTTTTTGGCCCTCGTTGGGTGTTCTATTTGTATAAGGCAGATTTATCTGAACATGTTCAACAAAAAGGTTTTCTAAGCCTTAAAAGTTACAATTTCACTAGAGTTTAAAAAAAATTATTTCAATACGCTGAGATTTTTTTCTTTTTACCAGAAAGTGCCAGATCAATTGCAATAAGACATGTGTATTTAAAGTTTTATGTAGAGTTATTCATTAAGTTGCATCTTATCAACTTTATTCAGAATGTTTAAGATGTAGAATATGCGAAGTCAACATAAATATTTGTATAAAAAAGGCCTTACAAAAAATAGGAAACATAAACGAACAAATAACAAAAAGAGGCAGTTCAGAATACCCATAATTTAAAACTTTTGCGGACAAAGTCTTGTGAACACATTCCTAATGCGAATCAGCTTTCACGCGTAAAATATCAGCCGTTGTCAGTTCTCTTTTCTGCATACAAGAACAGGAACGGGAGAATGATGCATGACGTAATCACTAACACTGCCCAGAAACGTTCTGCGCAGCTTGCTCTGTCCTCTACTTCCGGTGATGATCAGCGACGCATTCACTTCTTTTGCAATATTGAGTATTCCTTCTCCTGGTTTTTCTGCGTGAGTGCTTTTAACTGTGCCTTCCAGCTACAAATACAAAATTATTAAAGAAATACATGAAATGCCTTAATATATAGAAAAAAAGGTATGAACAAATATATACTTCTTTGCAAATGGCACGAAGTGTTCATGCAAACTCCCATAACAGGCTAAAGAATAACAGGACTGGTGCATTTACATCGCAGAGGGAAGATTTAACAGACAAAGTCCTGTTTTAGTCTAACTACCAATTTCGATAAAAGTGATCTGTTATAGCGACACTTGATTAAATTGCCTGCTAGATTTTGGTGTACGATTTCGTCATTAAGCCCTTTTCTTTAACAAATAGAAACTTTGATCAATACTTTGCCAACAAAAGGAGCAGTGTTCCCAGTACTCTGTTATTTTGTAAGAATGGGACTGATCGCGTAAACAAGGATAGAAGATAATATCAATAATCATAATAAAGTAAATACTGGGCTGCGCAGTTTGAATAATTTAGTAATCAAATCATAGAATTACGCCAGTAATAAAACAATGTTTTACAATAAATTTATACCGCATAGGTCTGTCCTTCTAAAGAACTTTTGGATTTTACTTTTTCTTATCAAAGAATATACACTTGACTTTCTTTGTAACTTTCATGTTTTTATAGGCGGTTGGTTTCAGGATGGTGTGTTTTGTGTGAACATTTCCTATGTCTGTCTAAATAACTTATTAAGAATAAAAGTCGAAAATAGCTGAAATTAGCAGCTTTAAATATAGAAATATTGAAGGGAAAATCTAGAGAAAACAAGTTTGGCCGGGTTTCTGTTTTCTCTATATATATTCCGTGCAATTCCAGGACACCTCTACATTTTTCATAGTTAGAAATCATAAATTCCATTGCTTTTGATAATATGTGCTAAATATCAGATTTTGTTCACTGCGTGTTTTAAGTGGCATGTGCAAATCGGCAGACGATAGAAGGAACTCAATCATTTTTAAAGCTAGATCTTACCCGACATCGGCTGTAAAAATGTTTATTGTCATCTCCCGAGGGAGATGACACATTAAGTTTGAAACCCGGAAGTGAAATTCTAGTGTAAGCTGCCATTGATAAGCTGGTTGGTCTGGCAAATGTCATCTAATAATGATGCGATTTCTAAATATAGAGATATAAAGAGAACTTCTTGAAGAACGAGAGATCTGTCTTACGATTATTTAAACCAAATGGACCATCTTAAAGAAAAACTAGACATGACCCAATAAGAGCAAGAGATGTAAGATCGCTTGGGGGTGATGGGTCTTCAAAATACGCGTCACATGTAGTCATATTGCGTAACCGATGGTCGTCAGCGCGCGGGTATCGAAATACTAAACATGGCATATTGAATATCAACCAAGGCGTGGGTCAAAGAATTTACAGAATAAAGAAATCTCAGCTACGTTACGGAAGGCATGAGTTTACATCTGTGATGCACCGTATGGGATGTTTCATTGTGACGTCGTTAAAAATTTAACAAGCGACAAAAATATATTTAACCACATGATGATGCGTAAATAACAACTTGCGTTCATTTATTTTATCAATTATTTATAAAAGCTTGTAAAATCACAACATTTGATAGCAATACTGCATGCCGAGCTAAAAGAAGCAAATCTTGTGTCATAAATGAAGTCACTAGCCTTGACTTGACGCAGTGCAAGAGATCCAGAGGGGTGGATCCATTGGTTTATTAATTACAAAAATGCTTAAATAAATACAAAACCATCGCCAATGTTTAAATTTAATCAATAAAATTAAAAGGAAATAATTTGTTTAAAACTATAATGTCGATTATTAATTTATCTCTAGTGCTACGGAGCTGCACAAAGTCCGAGAATGTAAAAAATATCGCTAACACGATAAGTGTATACCTGATTAATCTCAAAAGTGCAAGGGCATAGACTAGACTGTTTGAGCTGAAATATGGAATATCAATTGCTTATATCATGTATATTTTGAAAAGAGCTGGGAGCTGATTCCAGTCGGCATAACATTATTTTTGTTCATGACAGAATTTAAGCGAAGTGGGAATTTTGAGATATTATACGCGTTTTCAGCAAAGTAACGAATATTTCCGAAACATCTCAAACTAGCTTCCAGCACTTTTCGGGAAGTCAATGTTAATCTTTTTTTAATTTGTATCAATTTTTTCTCCAAAAACATGCGTATGCCCTTGCACTAGCCTCATTTTTTAACATTCAGCTGAACAATTCTATTTTTATACCAGTCACGTGACACACAGCTGATACATGCCCATGTAACTGGTACTGAGTAAGCCACAAACCTATCCATTATGGATATCTATATTACCTTTCATACATGTTTAAAGTTACTTTGTTACAAAGATTTCTAAAAATAATACCTATTAAGAATGTACTAAGATTGCATTTTCCATTACCTTCCTTAACAAAGCTGAGATCATAGTGAAAACATATACATAAATACTAGCATTAAATTAATTAATACATTTTGAATGGTTTGAATGAATGACGAGAAGCTTTACTTTTCTTTAATGTGTTCTTTAGTCATCGATAACTTACTGCCGTATGTGTGATAGAGTGATATTTTAATTTATTTTATTAAGTGAATATTATATAGTTCAGTGACTTGATATTCACGTATACATAATGTATATATATTTTATTTTTAGCATCGCGCAGCATTTCGTTTTCGCGGAGTTTTGCGCGCACCATTAATAAAATATTACAACTTCATTTGGTTTTAATCTTTACTTATGTTCTAGAAGTTCTTACTTATCCTGAGGGTATATAATGTTATTGGTCAGTTTTAATAACCAAGCTTGCGATTGGCTAGGGACGTTTTCCCGCCGATCTCTTTGTGTATCGGTCAGACATCTATAGACCATTGAGAAAGTGAGTTGAGTATTTTTGGTCATCATTATATACAATATTAATTTTGAGACAAGACCTCGGGACAGAGACTGTAAGTTGACTTCTATTTCTTTTATCTATACTAATTCTTATTCTATACTTTCCGATAATTCATCGTCTTTGATTTTTAATGTAATTTTATGAATATATACTGAGTTCAACTTTATCATTATTAAATGAAACTAAAGTATAAATTCTTTGAGTATGTAACTGAAATATCAATTATGCAGAAGTGTATATAGAATATAATTATTGTTTAATAGGAGTCTATATATCAAGACCCGTTATTTTATCGGGTGGTCCATTGTTTGAGCCCTGATCCACAATCAGGTATACCTATTATTATTTTCTATTTATTGTGTATATATTATTGTAAATAGATTTGTGAACTATTCATTTGATTGTAATAGTTCTATTTGTAATAGTATACACCTATTTACTGGCTATGAGGACAATAGCAAATTTATCGTTCCCCAAGACAGCAACTATTTCCCGAGGCGCAGCCGAGGGAAATAGTTGCTGTCGAGGGGGACGATAAACTTGCTATTGTCCGAATAGTCAGTAAATAGGTGTTTTATTATACCGAAGCAGTTTTTACTTGTGTTACGTCACAATCTGGATAAAAGCAGAAGAGTTCCGAGATGAAAAGCGAGGGAAACAGAATGCTGCCGGTGAATAGTTTAATGACTATTTCACCATGGGCAAATAGCACAAAAACTATTCCACGGTAGGAGCTGTTCGGAAAAAATAGCATGTTTATTCGTCATATTTTTATATAGAAAAAATTCACTGAGGTATAATAATTCGATTTATATTCTCGTTTTCAATACCTTGATGTAAGGGAAATAACTCTTACTTCTCCATGTATTTATTTCAATGCTCAGTATAACTTTTATGATCTATCATTATAAAGTAATTCATGCCTAAATTCATGAATATCATTATAAATGTAATATGTTTGTTTGTTTTCTAAATACTTATAATTTGTTATTGATATTTTTAGGGTTTTATTGATGTTTTTATTTATTCAACATTCAACATGACGATATAAAATAAAAAAGATCGAACCTTAGACGCAGGAGTTCTTTAATACCATAAGAAAACCCTGTTACATATGTAAAATAAAATAGAACTTATTCAGCAAATGTATTTCGGAGAAAAGAGATTTTAGAACTTAAAGTCAAAATTTAAGCAGAGACAAAAATGTTTCTGGTTTAAGTAACTGTACACATTGGAATAAAGATTAAAAAAACATATTGTATTTTCACAGATGTCTGAACTTTTCTTTCTTTTTTTTAACCCTGATAAAACTTTGAGAAAAAGACGCAGCTCAGATTTTTTCAAGGACTTTTAATCAAAGCACCTGCTAACATTTTCTTTATATGCAATTTTAAATTGCATTGTTGATTATGGGGGAAAAGTCATGAAATTATTCCTCCTATTCTTGAAATAAAGCCAAAATTACTATTTTAAATGTTTGTTTCCTGAAACAGCTTAAAAATCAGGGTCGGTAGATTAAGACTCTTTTTCAGTTTGATACTTAATTTTAGACGATAGCGAGTAATAAAATTTATTTACCTCTGTTAGAATGCACGAGGACGTTTTTTCTTTGGATGAGCTACATGTTTTAAAAGTAGGCTATATGTGTATTGCAAGAAAAGTATATTGATGACCTTTTTCACTTTCCTATGCTATTTTTCCAGTATCTTGTACACGAACATGTACTTATATAGAGCGTTAAAACTTCATCTGGGTAGCAGAAGGTGGTGGGGCAGGAATGGTTCATTTTTCCCTTGATATTCCATGTGGCTCGATGGCCACTTAGCTACGAGGCTAAGAATAAGGAAAATCTTTGGAAATCAACTGAGGGCCGGACTAATTTAAGCTAACACTTGAAAACTTGGCGGCTGCTGTCAGAGTAAGCTGTGGTTACAATTTTTCTACAGATATTGTAGTAATAAAATGAATAAAGTATATTTTCACACAGGTTAAATAATACAGGCACGTAAGGATCGCCCCACCCACTTTTTTCCCAAACATAACCTTTTAATGTTCATTGAAAGGCCACTTGCCCCCCCCCCCCCCCCAATTTTTGTTACACAAATCGTCCAATTGGAATTTTTAAACAAAATGTGTTGAACAAGTTTTGATCTCCCCTTACCCCTCCACCAAATAGGATTTTCGAGTTTTGACACCCCATATTTCCCTTGTAAAAGATTTTTCAGCAATTTGTCATTTTTTTTTCTGTCTGCCCCCCCCCCCCCACCCCTTTTCCCCTTTTTTTCAAAAACGATACGACTAGTAATAGCTGAGGGTAAAAATGTTACATTCTACTGTTTATTCTCTGACATTAATGAAACCAAAGAGATGACATTTCAGGCTTTCTGGAAAGCCATACTTGCACAAAACACACCATCCTGAAACCGAGCGCCCATGGGCTTTTTTTTTTTTTTGCACCTCCCCCTTTTCAAAACGATACAACTGCCAGTGAAATGCACAGCATTATATGTTAGTATTCGTCAGCTGGGTGTGACGCGTAAAATTGGAATACTGAAAGCGCACGCTATAAAAGTTGCAATATCATTAATACTGGAATGAATTGTAAAATAGATATTTCATTTCGATATGACATGAATAAAAAGTAAAGCAACAAACAATTTATTCAGCTTCTTTATCATGAATTTATCTTTTCCAATATCAATAACATGATTAAATTTGATATCGACTTCTTAAATCACTCCACACGAAATAGAGACACGCTACTCTCGCTGATAAAATAGCATTAACCGTAATAAAATCAGCAAATAGCTACCACGGGGTGAATACGCAGATATCAACCAGAATTTGCCTTCTGGTTAACGTCATTCAAAGCTTTGTAATCAATGGCGACAAGAATTGGTTCTATATATTATATTTTTCTGTTTAGAAATCATTCTATCATTGTTTCAGTTATGTTTACTTTAATTTACTCCGATACTCTAGTATAATATTAATTAACGCTGCTCTCTCTCTCTCTCTCTCTCTCTCTCTCTCAAATACATGAATTTAATTAAAAAATATATTTAAAAAAAAGCAAAACAAAACAAAAAATCAAAACAAACAAACTTACAAAAAGGAAAAAAACAAAACAACAACAAAATTAAAAAACAAACTAAAGACAATTTGATGTACATGTACATATCAATTTCTATTGAGCCATAATCCCTGCACCAGGGTTTTCAAATGTATCAATTTCCATTGCAACGTGATCCCTGCATGCACCATGTCTAAGCGACAGTCTGTGATTATACGTCCCCTACACCGGTGAAACTGGAGGGGACTAAAGGTTTCCTCTGAGTCTGTCCGTCCGTCCGTCTGTCTGTCTGTCGGACTGTCCCACTTTGTTTTCCGCAATTTTTTCCTAAACACTTGCAGATATTGAGGTGATTTTTGATATGTGAGTGTATTTTGATGAGTTACAGATCAAGTTTGCATTTCGTTCCGCTTCATTAATTTTTTAGGGAATTTCAATTTTTTAGGGTTTTCTGCATTTTCCCCCCTAAACGCTTGCAGATATTGAGCTGATTTTTGTTTGCATTTCCTTCCACTTCAATGATTTTTGACGAAATTATGACATTTTCAATTTTTTAAGGGAACCAGATTACACTTGCCGGTAGGGGACTAGCATTGTTAATGCAATACTCTCGGAATGCTCGTTTATTTACTTTTCTTTCTAATACAGTATCATTAAAAATTCTTAAAATCATTACCATCAGTAACGTTGTATATTAGCTATAGATGTCTATCCTAGGACCATGATTCTCATTAAAGAATTATTACCGACTGTTTTTGAATGCGCTTGTAGTCTTTTCAGTTTATTTAATTAATCTTCTCGAGCTTAAGGTTTTAATCTTCATTATTCTTCAAATTATATCAATGTTGTCGGAAGTTTTAAGGTACTTAATGATTTTTTCGATTACTTTCTTCTGTTTGTTTCTATGAAGAAAGGTCTTTCAATTTTATCATCTTTATGCCAGAAAATCGAACACGCTACCAAGTATTCGTGTATTTAATGATCATAATTAGACTGTCGTGATATCGATAAGTCTTCACTTCGTCAGTCTGGAAAGTTAAGCAGCCTTTTTTGTAAAAAGCTTTAATTAGTTAAATCTATAAATTCTCACCTTCATTTGTCGGAGATATTTAGCGAACTCTATTAATTCCCCTTGTATTCTCTTGACTTCTTTCTGTACGAGGTCTTTAAACACTTCCGGGTCCATGTTAAATGGCGCTTAATAAAACAAAGATGTGATAGATATACATTTTTCTTGATGAGAGATGAACATCAATTACATTCTTTAAAAGTATCAAGATCAGCTTATACCTACACATCGACACGTTTAGGAGGAAAAAATATAAAAAGTTTCACAAGGAAAACAGATTACTTTGCCAAGCTGTATCTCCTTTTTTCGTAGATTTATAAGTTTTCGCCCTGAAATTTCCCTAAATCGTTATCTATCTCAGATATATTTTATAAGGTTTGAAAACAATTGCACATTTCTGTAGATCTCTTTGACAACAAATCCACAAAATTGCCATTCATGAAAATAAAAGTTGACATTTAAGTCGAACACTACCACAAGACGAGACACGTGATATTCATACGTCACAACAACAACAAGTGACACTGAATAAAGTGACATACGTATATAACGTACCTGTGGTTGTGTGTTATACCTGATAGTACTTTACCTTGCTGTATGACGTCACTGACCTCGACACTGTACACAAGAAATACATGATCACCGGGCATGTGCAGCTTCTCGGCATAAACTACAAAATTAAAATATAATATGAGTTATACCTTATGTGCATGTATTATTATAAAGATTTCTAAAAATCTCGAAGTTGATGTCTACACATTATACATTTATTGCATGATAGTGAGGGAAATATGAAGATTTCTTCAGCCAAGAAATATCATATTCCCCGAGAGGAATATGATATTTCTTGGCTGAATAAATCTTCATGTTTCCCGAACATTCATGCAATGAATTGTTTATTATACCGAAACAAGCAAAAACTTTGAAATAAACATAAACTTTCAAATTCGGCACCGCTCTCAAATCCACTTTCATTTTTAACGTAAAGTTACTGAAACCCTTGACACATCACTAATCATCAATTTTGTGACGTAAACCAGGTTATTGTGACGTCTGCTACTCTCGGGACTTTTCTTTCAACGAACGATAACTATTGCGGGAAAATGCACTAGGTATCCGAAGAGGGGGAATATGATGAAAAGCATGCCGACGACTGTGAAATATGAAGTTTTATGGCCAGATTACGTGATAATCTAGAACCAATCAGATAACGCGTTGTGTAGAATAATTAAAATGAGGTATAATAAATGATGATATCAACCTTATAGCATTCTCTTAATATCTTTAACAGTGCTACCTAAAACTTTAGACACCTCCTCCCCCCTTCTAGATTGCTCAAGATTTTGCTCCATAATATCTAGTGTTTCCACATCCTCTGCCTCAGTTATGACCCATTTTCATGGTATTTTATATTTGATAGTTCGATACCCAAAAAGTACCCGCAATGTCTCACTATGAAAGCTACACCAAACACATGGAAAGCTGAGTGAGAAACCCATAATGATATTCTGCCTAACAGAGAATTAAGCATTTTTCAGTACTTTCAGTACTTTTGATTCCGAACTACTCAGCATATGCATTCCTAGTCACGAAATGCGCGTGCTGTATACTAGTAATTAAGTGATTTGGCAAGTTTGTTTGATTTAGCAATAGTAATACTATCATAATTGGCAATCATATAAGTAAGGGTCACACATAAAGATCAGTCCATTGAGGAGGGGCGTGAAATGGTATTTTTATGAACAGCCTTTATCAATGATAGTTTATTAACTTGATAGTTTATTAAAGTCAAGAGACATACATTTCATAGACAATATTTAAAATCATATATTTTAATACATATAATGATGATATTAACTTCCAACATGTACAATACATATAATATTTTCAACCATTTATAAATTTGTTAAATATACTGTTCTCTATATTATCTATAAATGCACAGATTCCCAGACACTACAAAAAGTTAGATAATGTCTGTTTGTTTGTTTGTTTACTAGGAAGAAGTGGCTGTGGTCCAGTCCACTTTATGAACTGATCCTATATCTCTGACCTTCGTCACTTTATAAACTCCCAGCTAGGTGTAAGTATTACGTATAGTACACACCAGATGTATTAATTTAATGTTCATTCTCTCAGGTTTTCTGTACATCCTGGGGATTTGGTAAAATCAGCTTGTCGTTAGAACCATTAAGTATAAGGGGCTTATTTTTATCTTCTTGGTGAGATTGAAATCGTTCTCTGTTAACGTTCTTCATCTTCGGAATAGCTGTCAGAGCAGACCCCTTTCTTGTGTATTTTACTACGTATTATGATATTGAATTCGCTGAAACTGCATGATGCTGACGTGCAGATTTTTTTTTTGATTTTTTTTTTTTGAGAACCAATGCAAAGAAAAACAGACATGCATTCGGTATGCTTTCTATGAACCAAATCTTGCGCAACTGCTGTCGATGTTTGTTTGTCAAACATAATGCAAGACTTTTTTATTTATTTTTTGGAGGGATGGTTTTGGATTAGGGATAAGACAGAAAATTATGTTGTCTTTTAATTAGCTTCACGAAATAAGAGCTCATGAGATAATAACACTTCCAAATTAAACCTTTAACATTTTTGTTCAAGGTTAGAGCTCAGCTGCATGCTGGTTTCCTGAGGATACCACAATATTAGTTTTATTTTCATATTCTTACTATCTATTCTACCTCCAATAATCGCCATAAAAATAACATTAAGTCCCGGGGATGTTTTCTCTTTAAAGTCAACCTCTATTACTCAGATAAGCAGATCGACTTTGTGATAAGGAAAACTTGTCTTTTTTAACGGTGTGCAGAGGTAGACTCTATAGATACACAGCAGCTGATGGATATATAGTACCGACATTTGCATTTCCTGGTTTCTTCAGGAGAGGGAGAGAGAGAGAGGCTTGGTTGAATTAAGATTAAGCAGTGTATATTGAATTTTTAAGTATTATCTAGAATATTATTTAATTCTGATAATTTCAGAATAAGAAGGCATTATCAGTTTTTTAATACAATTCACGGATATACATCCTATAAAATTTGATCGATTTATTGTTTAATTAACATTTGAACTATGCACATCTCGCGTTTCATAGATAAAAAGCAATTCAAGCTATCGTCAGAGTCTTAAATTCAAATTATGGTTGCTCTAGATCTATTCAAGTCATCCTTGAAATTAAATGGGAATACATTTATCCTTAATACAGTGAAGCAATATCCATTATTCATAGAACTGAAAGTCTAAGCCCAAGCTTTGCGAATGTCATGGGAACTGATTTCAACTCGTCTTAGACAAACATGAATTGAGAATCCATTAAATTGCGTGAAGTAGTGAAATTCTTATGTAGGAATATAAAAATAGGAATTTTTCCCTTTCAATCAGTACATTTTATGAAAAACCGTTACCAAGAATTAAGAACATAATACCCAGAATTTATTATATTTATGCAAGAATTCTGAGGTGCTTTCCTGGGGTTGAATGTCATCGTCAGTTCCCGCTGAAGAATAAACACTTTTTCCATTTATTCGATTTTTTAAGACAAAATTCCTTGGTTTCCCAACTTTCGAGATTTATGAATAGTATAGTGGCATCTACCTTGACGTCATGCGATTTTATGATGCTATTGTGAAGGAATTGTCGAAGATTTTGCGAGCATTGTTTTCATTCTCAAATTTAAATATTGCTAGTGATATATGATTTTATTATTTGTATAAGCATAATGTTCATAAAACTCGCTTATCTGCAGACTGTAAAAATATGTATGTTTCGAATGTTCATTCACTATCTACGAAGTGTTCCTGTCTATTAAAAAAAAAAAATTAGAAAGATTGTAAAGCAAAAAAGAATGTGAATAAAAAATAGAAAGATTGTAAGGCAAAAAAGAATCTAAATCATGCAGTGATTTGAACCATGAAAGAATTTGAAAATATGTTTTAGTTTTTTAAGAATTTCGTTTTTAGCTGAGTACTTTAACTCTCTACCATAAAAACAAGATAAATAACCCTCTAGAGTCGGAGAGGTAGAGAGGATATCAGATGTGTGGCTATAATCTTCATCTGGTGTCAATCATTACACATTGTTGCTGTACATACTTTGTATATATTTATAAGAGAATGTACACATTCTGTGATTAAGTAACCACGTTCACTTTGCTCAAGGTGCGCGAACAATACACAGAAAAAGAATGTTGAATCAGACATCAGTTAGGAATTGGCATATTTATTGATTTTTTTCGTTCTTCCTTCTTTAAACTGTCCTAATTTACGTGGAATGAAATTTAGTGCATACGAGTCGCCAATTCCTCAAATCGTCTCAGCTAACTCCACTTTCTTTTTGATGGTTTATAGCAACTCGTTAAATTCAAACAAACAAAAGTAGAATAACAAACAATTTTAAGGAAAGAACTCTCGGAATTCCTTTTTTTTTCAAAAAAAGATAAGAAATGGTATTCCGTACGTCAGTATATGTATCTTTCCATCATAAGATCGCTCCAAAGACAAGCACCACAAAAGTTAGGTTTGCTGTCGCTTTTATACATGAAATATTAGCTCTGATGTTTAGTGTCATGGTTTTTTTGCGAAATGCATTAGGATTAATTTAAGAACAAGCATTGTTGCACTGCGGGGAATTTCATAATGGGTTATTGATGTTTCTGTCGCCTAGCTGTTTATCGCTTTGTTGATTGCTAAGATCTTTCACAGATATATGATTATTACACATTACATGCAATGTAACTCTATAATGAAGGGGGAGTCGAGAGAGGAAGAGAGTATTTTCTAACGTAACACATTGTATGTATGCATCCTCTCATTCTTCCCAGAAGCTTTAATCCCACAATGAAACAACATTCGACGTCCAGAGCATTAAAATGTGAGAGACGAGGGATTCAGTTAAAGGGGAGGTGGGAGGGGGTGTTCTCCTCCTCGTTACTATATATACTTTATATATATGTCTGCTAAACACTAACATAATGCAGACTTTTTTACTTGAACCTATTTCTGCTGTTACAGTGCAGATCGTATAATACTAACATCGACAATCGTAACAACAGAATTATTCATATATCTCTATAAATATATCAACAAAAAGTACTCACATTTCAGCGCATGTTTAGCGTGATCGCTCCCATCAAAGGCTATAACAACATTCTTAGGTAACCTGGTTTCTGGAACCTCGGCCATTTTTTTTATATCCTTTTCTGCAAAAAATAATCACAAGTTCACTTAAAGAGATACATTCATGTAAAGATTGTCCAAGCCCTAGTATCTTTGCAGATTTGTGTCTGAAGCCAAGAGCCACTGGTCCTATACGTGCAGTAAGGCTGGAAGGCGGATAGGAACTGCCATATTCTGGGAGATCCTGGCGATCGATAACAAAAGTATACACATTATTGTCCCTCCCCGACACCCCATCACCGCCCTATAGTTTCGATTATCGATTACGTGTCCGCGATAAAGGATTGTCCTCTCGTATATTATTGCAACCTATCGTGATGCATTACTGATATAAACAGACATTGACATATTATCTCAGAATACACGATTCAATGATAGATATTCTCAGGAATTGCCTAAATATATATTTATCAAAAAAAAAAAAAAAAAAAAAAAAAGAGGGAAAAAAACAAGGATTAGCAAGTTCTGGAGCACATGCCTCAGTTGTCATTATAACAGATTTTTGGTCAGTAACCCGGAGGTAGCTGGTTCAAGCCTTGTTGTGGCCACTTGATGCTATGTGTTGTGTCCTAACTCACAGACAAGGTAGGCACTTTATCTGCATTGCCTAAGTCCGCAGCTTCAATGGGTATACCAGCTTACGCTGAGGGTTAGCCTGCGTTGGACTGGGGGAGTATGACTCGCATCCGCTTTGCACCACAGAAACCGGGTATAAGCACCGGCCTTACCTTGTGGCTAGAGAAGGATTTAACCTAACTTTTAAAGCTACCTTTTAGCTGAAAAATTCTTGCTTTAGATCAAACTGAATCTGCATATTTTTTAAGTGCGTTAGCTGGGGCTCTTTTGCAAGATAGGTAATGTTTTAAGCCGACAGTGGTGATTAAGGTTATACGGATTCTGGTAGGGACTTGTGCATGCTTAGGTATTTCTCTAATTGCCACTTCATTCTACGAATAAATATTTATAACTTTAATATCGACAAATTAGAATCCTGTAACTGGGCGATGGCGGCATGTAAACACAATTACCGATTGGCCTCTCAGGATATAGGACTTAATTACATTTAGGAAGATGTTTCTAAATAGTTCTTATTATAAGTGAGGAAAATATGGTAGAAGGGGTACTGAGCCAAGAGCACCTTCTCTCTCGCCTCTATAACGAAGCTGCATCTTTTTAATTCATTGCCAGTGTAAAATAGCTTGAGGAAATTGCCAGGCGTTCTCTGACGATGCACTCCGTGCAATACGGTAGATAACAAAGATCAAGGTTGTACCTGATATAGAACAGCGGGGATCATGCCCCTTCACTGTGTGTGAACGCGGAGGGGGAGGGGGGGGGTACATGTCTTCTTTGCCAATTATTATTTAATCAAACTAACATCATAAAAAACCCTTCCTAAAAAAATCAAATTTAAAATTGTTGCTTAATAACATATTCGGCGAAATAGGGTTTCAGCTTCTTTTTTTTTCCACAATTATGATGTATAGTACATTAAATATTGTTTTCTCTATAGCTGGGATAAAAGCCTACCCCTACTGGGTGTACCGTCCCCTATTTGTCATGTAAACATTACAATATGTTCGTGTGCGTTTGTATAAATGAAATGTTGAAGGATGAAATGCTACGCAGTAATTTAATTAGTAAAATTGATAAGTAAGAGATCTTACTTAAAGACGCTTAAAATGCTTTTATTTCATACTGCACAAAATTAAGTATGATCGATGTTTAAATTATGCTAAACTGTGTCAGGCGAAAGGAAACTGGAACAATGGAAAGATGGTAATCAGAAAATGTGAATTCAGTCATTTGTTAAATTACTTCTCATTCTATTTAAAAATGTCATGACTGAATTAAATTTTCCCAAGAAAAAAAAGGAAGAAGAAAATTCAACATAAGGAAGTAAAAATTTATAGTAGATAAAAATTTCGGAATTCCATTGCAAATCAAATTTTCAAGATTTCTTGCATAATTCTGCCGATAGTTTTCATGTATCTGACTAAAGTAAATTGGAGAAATTCGTGCGTAGATTCCTATTTTGCTCTACGCACAGGAGCTTTCTTCCGAAAGTGTAAAAAATGTTAATCTGAAAAAATTCATAGGCTTTTACATTCGATAGTCCATGTGCTCGTTGTTTTGGAAAAGAAAAAAAACACGGTAGAAAAAAAAAAAAAAAAAAAAAAAAAAAAAAAAAAAAAGTTCCATCCCGCGAGGCGGATTTGAACCACCGACCTAAGGATTACAACTCATTAACCGCTACAGTCCTCCGCTCTACCAACTGAGCTATCACGGGATATGTTTTACCTGAATTAATGTAGTATATAAACAGAAATAATAGCATTCTACTTTATAACATGTTTTTATTATTATAATTATTAAACTTAATCTCAAGAAATTTTTAAATATACGTTCAGTTAAAATAAAACAATCATTATAATCATGATAATACAGTCATTTGACCTCGGGCTCATCAAAAGTCAAGCTTAGTCACATGATCAAAACATGGCCTCCATGGAAGTCCCTCATCCAAAAGAAAATTATCAGACAGGATTATTAGCAGATCAGGCGACCCTCAAGCAATATTTAGACAATGCAACAGCTGCTTTACTATTCAAAAACTTTGATGCATGTATTGAAAACTGTGAAAACGGACTGAGTCGAGTAAAATTATGCTCGGAACTGGAGAATTTCAGGTAACAACTAACAGACTAACATTAAGCATAAACCATAAACATAAAGAGTGGAACGACTTGACTTTACCGGTCCCCAGAAAAACGCGCTAAAATATATTATTATACCTCTATTAAGAATACTCAAATTTGATTGGCTTGTTAGAAGGCTTTTAAACTCAATAATGACTCCAAAAAGTACCTTTTACAGCAATAATGACCTAGGAATCATTGCACGTGGGGTATAATGACCGGTCAATAAAATTAATGACCGCTTAAAATGACCTGTTACTCCAAATTCCATTCAAATTAAAAAAAAATATGCATACAGTAATGATTGTACATTACAAAAATTGCCGTTATAAAAATATGTATAGTATTTTTAGGATACGGAACACGATTGGCCTTTAGATGCGTCATAACATTTATCGTTTTCATTGAAATTAACTTTCGTTACAATACAATGTCAAATTCAACGAACGCAGACTCGGCTCTCTTGTACACTTAAAGTTTACACCAGATTGTCATTGTAGTCGGGAATGGTATCTGTGAATTTATAAAAATGCAATGTTACTGACAATCACAGAGTGTTTTAATAAATCGGCGGTGCAAAAACTTACAAGACTAGCAGCCGAAAAGTAAACAACTTCACTAGCGAATCCCGATCCCGATGGAACACTGATAACAGTTCGTAGGTCTTATACATGTAATTGATTATTTTAGTAATTAAGCTTACAAAAATTGCCTTAACTTATATCGGTATAATAAAACAATTGATTACCCCTTATGAGTTCAATATGGTAAAATAAGGACCCTCGACCTGGCCCACTCGCTGACCTGACCTGACCTCGGCCGCTACGCGGCCTCGGTCAGGTCAGGTCACCTCGTGGGCCAGGTCTCGGGTCCTTATTTTACCATGTTGACCGCATAAGGGGTAATTAATTGTATAGTGTCGCCGTAGGCGACTTCAATATATATGAGATCGCGTGAGCGATCGAAAAAAATTTAAAATATGAGGTTTTAAGCCTTTTTGACCCCAAAATCGAATTCTACGGTTAAAAGTTTAGTTTAAAACTTCGTTTTTAAACGAAGTTTTTAACCTCGTTCTCTGAAAAAAGTAATAACTATTGTTTAATCAGTGAAAAGGAGACACAAAATAATTGTGAACGGAGCGCGTGCGGCGCATGCTTAGTGCCGTTTCTTTTGTACTTAGCCATTTTTTTTTTCATGTAAACAAACCAACGAGATGTCGTTGAAGCTGAATTAAGATCTTGCAAAAAATACAGATGCAACTGAATTTCTTAATTACTCTAAAAGAACAAGACACTAACCCTAATCTCTCAGATGGTATGCGAGGACTAACCCAAATCTCCCAGGCGGATGCTAGACTAACCCATGTGCGAGGACTAACCCTAATCAGTTGAAAACTTATGGAAGGACTAACCCTAATCTTTCAGGTGGGTGCAAGACTAACCTTAACCAGTCGAAAAATGTGCAAAACCAACCCTAATCAGTTGAGTGACGTAAGTCTTACGTCATAGTGCAATGAGCACGCGGATCTTGCGGATCTGGGGACCGGTAAAGTAAAGTCTACCCTAAAGAGTAAACTGTAAACGATACGATAGAGTGCATTAAACAAAACCAGAGAACTATATACTAACTCTAAGTAAATACAAGTAGGTCCCTGACAAAACAGATTTCTACTGATTAAACAATGTGTATGAAAAAGTTAAGGAGATTTTGTATTTACCTTTATCTTTATGCATTTGGCATCAATTGTACTTTATCTTAGAGTAATGATTAAAATTATAACTGTCACCCTCACGATATTTGAATGACTGTTGATTGTCCATCTTGAGAGATCAGGGCTGCATTCGACCACGCAGACCCATTTTTCACTATGGATAAGCTTCAAAGTTCAAACAGGTCAACATATTGAAAGAATTTCAAATTGGATAATATTACAAGTACTTGTCTGTAGCTTAACAGAATTAATATGGCTAACCTAAAACCGGTTACCTATAATTACAACAGAGTACTCATGGTATTATAGATACATGTATGTATAGATGCATTATTTGTCCAGCATATACAAGATATAATTATGACAAAATATTTAAAGAAAACCTTTGTCTTTTCGATTCAGTAATGTTTAATTGATGAAGAATTATGTTTGAGACATTATTGTATAAATAGATTTCTAAAGAACAGAACTTTGCTGATTTAACATTTTTGATTTTATATATTTTTATTTTGCTAGTGCTAAGGAGTATATAGAGCGACTTTGCGTTCTGGCTGTGCAGGCTCACGCTGAGAGAAACACCTGGCAGGAAGTGCTGCCGTTTGTTCAGAAAGTTTACAGTGACATCGAACACTCCCCAGCCGCAGTATTACAGCTGTGGTAGGTAATTACTAGTTCAGGATGATTTTATAATGTACCTCAAGCATTTAAACTGCAATAGGTAGTATACATGTTCAGAAAGTTTACAGGGACATCAAACACTCCCTGGCAACAGTGTTACAGCTGTGGTAGGTAATAACTACTAGTTCAGGATGATATTATAATACATCCTCAAGTATTTAAGTTGCAAGAGGTAGTATACATACCATGTCTGCCCCCCTCTTTTTTTTTTATCTTGATTTACAGTAAGAAATACCGTATGTATTTCAAAAGCACAAAAATAGGTCATCTATATTTTTACTAAGATAGGATGTGAATTTATCTAATTTGCTAATAAAAAAGCAAAGTTTAGAACTCAAATAAGTTCCCTTTTAGACTAGAGTGATAAATGTGTTTAATACCCTGAATTTTTTGTCTTGATTTATTGAAAGTGATGTTTAAAGTATCTGTTAGGCACAAAAAATACATTGGTCATCTGCATTGTTTTCCCCAAGTTACCAGGTAAAAACATATAGGTACATGTACCTCCCTCACACTTTACTAGTTCAAGCCTTTACGTATCTTGGATTTCAAAACTAAATATCAAACTGTCATTTTAAATAATTATGTAAAAAATTGAGTTAGATGATTTTGTTTGTAGTTTACTGCTGTATGCCAGACTTCAAGATTACCCACAATGCCAGGCTCTTGCCAACATTTGGCTCCGTAACCAAGAAAACTACACAGATCCTGAGTACCCACATATTGTTGATATTTATGTGCAGCATGCTATGTTTCCACGGAAACTTCACAGTCTAGTCCCAGCATTCTTGGATACCTGTCATGGGTTGACTGCTTCTCAAAAACAACAAATGATGCAGGTACCAACAATCTGATTTTTGCTTAATTTTTTATCTTGCTTGATTTTCATACCTTTTGATCATAATGACGTCATAATTCATAAATTTAAACCTTAAGAGATCGTTGTCATTATAAAATGTGAAGTTTCTGTTTAAATAGCATTATGCCACTTCCATTGAAAATGAATTGAAGAGTGTCAATGAAGAAAATGCAAAAGGTACAACATCAGCTGATAAAAATGTTGTCAGAGAAGATGATAATGGTAAGTAATACAACTATTTCAATTAATTAAAAAAAATTAAGAAATTGTTTTTGGAGAATTCATAACCTTGGACCGAAGCAGCATGGCATCAGGTATAAAATAATTTTGAATTAATGAGGTTTGATTGTATATAATACAATTAAGGAATGTTTTCAAGTTCTGTGTGAATTACTGGTGTGTAAATCACACAGACTTGTCATATAGGCATATTTCATGAAGCACGCTAACGCTTTATGAGAAAAAAATGCCTATGTGCAAGTCTGTGTGATTTACACACCAATAATTCACACAGAACTTAAAAACATTCCTTATATTTACATTTTACATGTTTAAAAGCACCAAACATATACTCAAGGTTTGAATTTCTCAATGCCTTATATGCGTTATATTTTTATTAACGTCTCTATATCCTTATTGTGACATTCAGTTTAGCGCAAGTTTCTCCATATATATTTCTACGTGTGAGTATACATGTATTCCATAGTTTCTAAAGTAGTAAAACACAGCAAATGTAAATGTACTGAAATACAGGGATTGCAAATGACACATAACAAATTAAGAATATAAGATTCTAATTAAACTTGCCAATTTATGCTGCATTCAACCTGATCATTGCTTTTGAACAATAATTTTGAAGTACTTGTATAAGTAAAATTCTGTTACCTTTTGACAGAATAAAGTTTGTGCCTATCAGAACTTTAAGCTTGTAAAAACAAGGAAATATCTAGCTGCAAAACTTATAGAGGGTTATTTTTTTTCTTCAATTTCATTAAATTAATGCATGTTACATATTCATTAGAATTTTACTAAATATTTTTTGACAGTGATGTCCCTTATATATAATTATATAAGGTGTATAGACAAGTACAAGCAGTAAATATAAAGATTGTGTTAACAGGTGAGCCAGAAGGAGTATGGGCCTACATCAAGAGACTGAGCGCCCTGTTGTTCCAGAGAATTAAGCCCTACAGTCTGTCTGCCATTATTTCAGTCGCTGTCATTCTCCTGGCCTTCCTCTCCCTCAGATTTAACAAAGGTATAAAAACATACAGAGTTTCTAGTGTAAACACAATTTAACATTATATACATTAATAGACATTATTAAAAATGTAAATTATCTTGATAAAAATGATGTCAAAAAGTCAAAAATGTACATGTACATATCTATAAAGTAGATATATATGTTAATATGTATATATATATATCAAAATTACAGATAATATGTATCTATATATCAATATCCCTATATTACAGATAATTACGTTTCTATATAATTTATTTTAGGCCCTTTTTCTAGGATTCAGAGTGCAGTCCTATTGTTGTGGCAACGATTAGTCTGAACAAGCTGAGAGAGGAGTTAACAAAATGGTTTCCTTTTTAGGAGATGAATTTGGTGAAATGAGATGTAAGAATTAAAATGTAACAAAAGAATGACAGAAAATTACCGAGAAAAAAAATGTAAAAAAAAAAAAAAAACTGCTGAAAAATATTGAAGGATATGTGAAAGAATTTAGGAGGGTCAAATGAAAACTGAAGGATTTGTGATATTTTGTCATTTCCCGAAACTTGTAAATTCCCCCAGTTGTGGAGTCTGAATCAAGTAGGTAGTTGCCAGGAAATATAAAAAAAGAAGCATTAATGTCAATAAAAAATGTGAATACATGTATAACTATTCAGTTAAACATAACAGTTAAATATTATTATGAGTTGTACAGTTCAACGGCAATGTCAGTGGAACAAGAAGGGAAGACAGAATTTATCTAGAAATGGGAAATATATAATATATGTAATGAACTAACTCTATAAATGTGCAATAAATCCCTGCTTTTTATCTTTGTTGTTTTAATTTTATGAAAAAGGGTAGATGTCATCACGTGTTCACTGTTCATCGTAAATGGAAACCAGCATTTGGCTGCAAAATTTCGAATCTCCTTTGATTTTGAAGAGCTTTTTATTGAATTGGTTTTCACAATTCTTGGCTTATCAGCTGCTAATGCAGACAAATCATGAAAGAGCATTAGATGCATATTCCGTTAAGTCTCGGGAGTAAAAGTAATGCAGCTGTCATCTCTAAATCTTGTCATTGGAAGCACTTGAGTGTAACCAAACTTCATATACTGATACATACTCAACTGCAAAAACATTTTTTGACCTTGACCTTTCCTTTGACCTTGACCTCACTTGTCTTAAATTAGTCTTTAGCTTAGTTTTAAAGAAACCCTTCAAGATAGTGTAACCAAACTTCATATACTGATACATACTGATGTAAGCTTTTCAAATGCATCAACATTTTTTGACCTTGACCTTTCCTTTGAGTTTGACCTCATGTTTTCTTAAGTTCGTGTTTAGCTCAGTTTTAAAGAAACCACTCAAGATATAATCAAACCTTGTGCTGATTCATGTACATACTGAAGTAAGCTATTCAACTGCATAAACATTTTTTGACTTTGACCTTTCCTTTGACCTTCAGCTTACTTTTCTTAAATTAGTGTTTAGCTCAAGTTTAAATAAATCATTCAAGATATTTTTATCAAACTTTGTATGCTGATACGTATTACACTGTAGTGAGAGCTATTCAACTGCTTCAAAAACTTTTGACTTTGAACTTCCCTGTGACCTTGACCTCACTTTTCTTTAGTTTGCTTTTTGCTTAGTTTTATACAAACCATTTAAGAAATTTTTATGTAACCTTATGCACTTACGCACATAATTTGGCGAGAATTTATCATCTATATCTGTGAGAATTTATCATCTATATCCAATTTTTAGATTTCAATTTTAAAGAAACTATTCAAGATATTCTCATCAAACCTTATACACTAATACAAATTTTCATGTTGCATTACTAATATACCCGCAGCGGGGCATTCATGTCCTTTGGACATATTTCTAGTTTAGACAGGGCTCGATGTTGGGATATGGCCAGAGTATAGTTTTAGGATAAAAGGAAGCAAAAATTTAGTTACATGATCCTCTAGATCACAGACAGTGTCTTTGTTATGAATTTCATTTACTATATACTTATACTTTTTAATGATGACTTTTGCTTTATTAACTTGAGAAGAAAAGAGTACAATTAAGAGACTTAACTGTTAATTATCCGGGTATGGCAGATTATTATTTAATATTCTTCTGTTTTCAAATTATGTGATCAGATTACAATATATTTACGTTCACCGAATATTTTCTCCTTTATTTCTTATGAAAATTGTTTCCCGTTAATCAATTGATTAACGCTAAACTAGTTAGAACCGGTTTCTTTATGAAAGATTTCTGAAGTGGGATCTTCTATCAATACAGATCGATATTGCAATATTTTACGTACTCTCACCCGATTTAAACAGATATAAATATAAACAATTAAATGTCTGTCTTTGTTTGTTAATACGTGGATTAACGGTTGCAATATTGCAGAAAAAAGTAATTTTTTTCTTTTTTAGCAATGTCGCAACCTTTAATCCCTGTATTAACAAAAAACAAAAATTGTTCAAACAAAAGAGTGCCAAAAGAATTCTGCTGATAAGAATGAAAAAAACCATCTATTATGCATTGTAGACCTATGATTGAAGTGTTATAATTCACATTAAAATAACAAGGTCTATGACCTCTTTTCATGTTAGGGGCCCCTGAGTATTTCTGGGAAAATACCTCAATTTATTACACTGTGATCAATATTTTCTTTATTAACAAAATACATGTATTAGAAATAACAAAACTCCTTGGATAATGAAATAATAATGTAAATGGAATAATTTAGCGAAATATAAATAAACAATTGAGTTTGAACTACAGAACTTCTTAATTATTTCAGTTCGAATTTCCTCTGCCAGTTTTCTAATTTTTACTCAATGACATTTAAAATCTAATGTTACAAAAGTCTTATTGATAAGAACTCTAAACTATTTAAAGCCCAAACTTACTTTTGTTGCCCTCATTATGTTAGTATTAAAATTATATGAGGTCAATGATCAAACTCTTACTTTAAGGTATGTTGTCAACTGGAATGGTTTTTGTTCATATTTATGAATTCTTTATTACATGCCATTCGATTATTTGAAACATTACTTGAGCTTCAGCACCCATTATAATTGAAAAACGATGTTAAAAACATATATAGAAGCTAAACTTTTTGAATAATATTGCAAGAAAAAAGTTTTGTGAAAAAAAAAAATAAAAAAAAATAAAATAAAATTTAGTCTGAATTTCCTCTGCATCATCATAAATTTACTTTTGTTCGTGCATATTTTCTTGAAATAATAAAATTCCATCTTTAAAAAATGAACATTGAGTTATAAATTGGTTATTTTGTCCATTAAGAAGAATTTTTGATTTATAACATGGTTCACACGGAATGATTACTCCTCATAGGACACCTGATCCCACCTGTAGTGTTTCCAGGGGTCAGCATTTTTTTCTTATCTGTTCACAATTGTTATTGTTTAAAGGATTTAGGGATGACGTTTAATCAGGGTTTTAGTTGAAAGAAATGGAATACAAGTTTAAAGAAAGCCCTATAAACCAACTTATTTTTCAATAGCCCGTGTCTGTTTGAAATTTGATCGTTTGAATTGATCACATATTGGATGAATCAATTGAATTCCCCTCTTCAATATCCAGAGGGATCCATTTCTGCTTCTAGAGAATAACCAAGAAAAAGTATATGTTTTACAATGTTTATAATTTTACATCAGTTGAAAATAAAGTACTTCAAATTTTAAAACGTAAAACAATTAAAAAAATGAAAAATTATTTTTCTTAAAGAATTATTATACCAAACTGCACAGATTTACTAGTACCGAAAATAGGGTTTTTCCCCCCAGAATCTTCAACCTCAATGCGTCGAAGTCAGTACGTGAGTTTTTTTTTTTTCAACCTGCAAAAATATCATTTATTTGATTTTAGTGAGTGCTTAAAGCTGAACACGACTCGTAAATAGGCATACGCCATTTTCAATATTACTATCTACGATATCAGCATCGGGGTATACTCTTCGCATTCGTTACACCTGACTGCTTATTGTCACGGGTATCGGCGTGGAATGGCGACCCGTGTTCGTGCTGGTTATCTTGCATTACCTTAAATTGTTTACATTTTATTGCAGTTACGTGTATTTACAAGTGTTTGTTTGTATACTGCAGTGACCTGTGTAACTGTTGTAAGTTTCTTTGGTATCTTTTTCTCCTGCATTTGAATAGGTACATAGTTATATTTTGTCGCTACCGAGTGCTGTATAGCATACGTCCTTCTACACCGGTGACGATTGATTACACTGGACACTGACCAAGTCAGCGGCTTTATATAGGGGCCCTTAGATATAGCGAAAATCCAATCGAATATGGCGGACACATTCCTTTTACGAATCGTGTTCAGCTTTAATTAAACAATCCAAAAAGTTGTAGATGTTTTAAGGATAGTACTGCATTTGTATTTATGTGAACTTGTATCGAATTAGCTAATTTCAGTGACCTATTATATAGTCCCGTGTCTGTCCCTCTGTGTATACACGTATCTAAAATTATAATTACCTGTAAGATAGTTCTGTTTATTTATATATCTGTATACACCCACTATGTTGTGTCTCCATGACCCAACCCAGAGAAGGTGTGTATTCCTATCATAATACAGGGCCTGTGGTCCGCTAATCTCATGTTGCGTAAGTATCAGTGACAGAAAGTGACCGTTCTTATCAATCATTTGTACTGTGTGCGTGTTACGATCACATATCAGGATGTGTGACAGCGCGTCAGTACAGATTCCTTGTGGATCTAGTTCAGATCCTGATGGAGGTCCTGTGTAGGAGAAACGATGTCTTCCTCCATGCTCTGTCACCACTACAGCACCACTGAAAATGGCAATTGCGTCAGACACAATGACATCCCCATTGCGGTTCTCTGTGATGTAGTTAGGACTACTGTACAGCTTCTGACCTGTTTCGTTTTGTGAAATGGTCTGTATATGTTGTCCTCTTTCGTTATATCGTTTTACCATGGCCGTCATTGTATTTTGCATGCCAACCAGTAGATCTCCACTGGAGGGAGAGCAGTAGACACATTGCGGTATCCATGTTTTTTGTTTCTTTCTCAGCGTAACCCTTGTGTTATCCTTAGATAGTTTTTTGATACTTTTGTCCTTGTGTATATAAATAAGATCACATGAATTATTCACTGTGTGTGCTCCTCTGTAATAACTATCAATAACTGTCAGATGTTGTAGTGTTTCACCTTCTGTGTTTGTCAAGACGAGAATGTTCATCCAATTACTGATCCAAGAGCGGTTTGTCATCACACAAGAAATGTGTCTTACATCATGAACTTCTGTCACTGTGAAAGATTTGTGTAGCATGGGTTCATATCTGACATGTCGTCTTCCTTTCTCTTTTATTTGAATTTCATTCAGTAGCTTAATCACATCCTGTATGTTGATTTCCTGAGATAGGGAGAGCAAGGCGGGTTTTGTCATACTAGGAGTGGGCCTTCTCTCGGGGAAGCGGGTTTTCTTCAGAAATAAGAGGAATTTAACTGATCTGTTTGCTGACTGTTCAAATCTGTTTTCAAATTTCTCTATTATGGCAAAGTGTCTGTTCATTTTACTCTTCTGTAGTTCAAATCTATGCATATCTTTTATATAAGTTGTATGTCTGGTTTTAACATCACATATCACAGTGTCAATGAGTCTCTTTAGTCTCGTGGCTTTTGTTGACATCTCTGATTGATGGTTGGAGACTTCTTTGGGGCAGGCTTTTACATCAGTTTTGATTCCTACCAGGAGAAAACAGCTGTTATAGAGAGCCTCACTCCTTATGTTGTGAATGACTTCTCTGTGTTGTTGACGGCTTGTTTCATATGCTATTTTGCTGTCTAGTAGTGGGTGTTTTATGTGTTCTTTACATTGGAAACATACCGGAAGTTCACATGAGAGACAGAACATTTCATAGTTTCTGTCTGGATGTCTCACACAAGACTCTTCTTTCGTGGTGTATTTATATTTCTCACGGTAAATCACAACATCATGGTATATGGTATCTAAATCAAAAACATGTTTCTCTTTACACCTCAGACAAAGGTCATGTTTACATGTGTTACAGTAAAATTCTGTGTCCCCTTGGCATTGAAAACACCTTTACATTGTTTGGTTAAGCTCTTCTCATTGCGGTGGGCCTTATAGAAAACCACTTTATGATATTTGGTTGGTGAGTCTGTAACATGTCTCTCTTTACACTGTATACACAGATCATGTTTACATGTGTTACAGTAGAATTCTGTGTCCTCCAGACATTGAGAACACTGTCGTACTTTACATTGTTTGGTAAAGCTCCTTTCACTACGGTGAGGTTTTATGGAACACCATTTAATGATATTTGAATGTTGACTTTGTAACATGCCTCTCTTTACTCTGTAGACACAGATCATGTTTACGCGTGTTACAGTAGAATTCTGTGTTCTCCTGACATTGAGATTACCACCGCAATCTACAACGTATAGTAGGCTTTTTATACAATGCAACGTTATGGAATTTAAAGTAATAAGAAGTAGTAAGGAAGTTTGTAAATGTTTCTATTTACACTGTAAACTTTAATGCAAAATGCACATGCACGAAGAAAGAAAGACGATGTCACAAAACTCCAACAACTAGAGAAAGGGAGAGCATTCAGGATGGAGCTGAAAAATAGATTCCATGTTCTAGAAGAATTGAAAAGTGTCGAAGACATCTGGGAAAGTATGAGAAAGGGCTACACCGAGACAATAGACTGTACACTTTGAGTTGGAAAAAGGGGAAAAGACTCATAAAAACAATGTATGAGATAACTAGAGTGCTAAGTAATGAGAGGAAAGAATGACAGCAGCAATAAAGGACAAAGTGGGCAATACCCTGAGCAGCCAAAATGAAATAAAGAAAAGATGGAAAGAGCACTTCCACAACCTGAACACTCATTAGAAGAGGAAGGCGATGGACAAGTAGTAGATGAGATAGGTAAGCCCCATAAGGAGAGAAGAAATCATCGGCTATAAAGAAACTAAAGTATAGAAAGCTGAAGGAGTTGATGGGATAACAGCTGAGATGTTAAAAGCAGACACAGAGGCAACAGCAAGATATTTGGAAAAACTCATCACAACTATTTGGAATCAAGAAACTATACCATCGGTTTGGAATAAAGGCCTGATTGTGAAGATTTCAAAGAAAGGTGACAGATCGGTATGTGATAATTATAGAAGTATCATACTTTTATATGTGCCAAGCAAAGTATTCTCCAGAATAGTGATGCAAATGATTCAAGATGGAGTGGGAAAGCAGCTACGTGAGGAACAAGCTGTCTTTAGAAGAGGGAGAGGTACAACAGAACAACTATTTACATTCCCTTACATCACAGAACAATGTACCGAATGGAACTCAGCACTGTTTAAAAACTACGTTGATTTTGAGAGGACATTTGATTCCATTTATAGAGAGAACCTTTGGTCTATCATGAATTTATTGGGCATCCCAGAAAAAGTAGTCAGAATGATGAAACTCTTATATGAATCATTTCAATGTGCAGTCCTAGAAGATGGTGAAGAATCAGACTTGTTCCGGGTAACAGTAGGAGTGAAGCAGGGTTGCACAACGTCTGGTTTCCTATTTTTGTTGGTTATAGACTTCATAATGAAAAGAACTACAGAATAGAACTAACAGGAATAAGATGGAATTGCACCACAAAATTTGAAGATCTAGACTTCGCAGATGACCTTGCTCAACCTTTCTCAAAATTTCAGAACATCCAACAAAAGACACAAAGATTACATGAAGTCCAGCTGGCCTTAAACACTGAGAAAACTAAAGTGATGAGACTCAACTCTGCTATAAGAGAGCCAGTCAAGATTGATGGACAAGACCTGTAGGATGTAAAACATTTAGTTACCTTGGAGACGTGATAACAACAAAGGGGGATCTGGGGAGTACATTACCAACAGATTTGAAAAGCCAAATCTCAGTTAAGAAGGCTAGGGAAAATCTGGAGCTCATCAAAATTTTCCATTCAAACTAAAGTTATTTCAGAGCTTGGTCCTTTCAATTGTCATGTATGGAAGTTAGACATGGAAAGACAAAAAGGAGATTGACACTCTCTAGAATAGATGCCTGAGAAAAATCCAAAGAGTGAGATGGTCCGATAAAATATCAAATGGAGAAACCTATAGAGCAAAAACAACCAGACCAAATGAAATAATAACTCTCATGAAATGGAATTGGATTGCCCATGTACTAAGGATTGAGAACACCAGGATTTGTACCACCGCACTGACATGGCATCCAGAAGGAAGGAGGAAAATAGGGCGCCGAAAACAACATACATGGAGTAGAACAACAGAACAAGAACAATTAAAGCTGGGTTGGAATAGTTGGGCGACAGCGAGGGCAGCAGCCAAAGACAGAGGCAGTTAGAGGCATTGTATTTGGGCCTATGTACCAGCGGACACAAAGAGGATAGGTAAAGTGAAGCATAAAACTCGGACCTCTTGGAAATTTCAGAGGTGGGATCAAGTGCTAGGAGGAGTAAGCACCCCTGGTGGAGCGGCCGTACTAATTGATCCAGGTGATTTTGTTATTATACTAATTGAAATAGGATGTGAACTTCACTTCTTTTGGGGAAAATGCATATGTATATAAGGCATACGCCCCACAGTATAACATTCATTTAACTGAGAACCATATTTTGTTACATGTAATGAATTAATCTGGTTCATCACTTAAGCTACTGATTCAATGGTAATGTATACTAGTACGTCATATAAAGTATCTGTTCAAGCAATGCAAACATATATACATCCCTAGAGCATGGAATTTTGAGCACTTAAGGTATACTATTGTCATAAAAATATCCGAAAGGCTTTGTCCTATTATTATAGATTGCACAAATTTATCCACCTGATGGGGAAAAATCACGAATTGTAATTATTGTGTTAGTTTTAACCATTTTTCCATGAAATACAAAGTATCATATTAATTTTACATCATTTTGAACTGTAAATGTTCCAAGCTTAATAGTCATAAAAAGATTTTACAGGATCTAAACATATAATTCTTACTTGGAATTGATATTTACAACCCTTAGAATGGAAAATGAAACCATCAGAAGTCGGACGTTTTAACACATCAAGATTTAGATTTCTTAAAAGTGTTGCCTTTAAGATATTGATTTAAAAGTTCGGTACAAAAAAGAGAGTCTTATCTATTCCACATAATTGACAACACAGGTATTTTATTTAGCGGCTTACCCAAAAGTCGTAAAGGAGAGTCGAAATTTCATGAGACTCAGTATACACACACCGATATATATATATATATATATATATATATATATATATATATATATATATATATATATATATATATATATATATTAATTTATTCTATGTGTCGGATCTATTGAATAGATATAAGGTCAAAGATTGAATTTTATATAAAGCTCTAAAAATGACCAACAACACGAACAGTTAAAAATTGTCAAATTTTCGGGACGCCCTGCACAAAGAAAACAGTTAAGAAGTCATATTCAAAGGAAATAGAGAAACAAAAAACTAGCACTACTAAACTACCAAACACTATATATATGTTTCATGTTTAATTTGAAGTTTATGAACAGTTTTAAATGACTTCTTAACTTTTTTTTCTTTGTCCTGAGGAAGGGAAAGGGCGTCCCGAAATTTTGACAATTTTTAACTGTTCGTGTCGTTGGTAATTTTTAGTGCTTTATATATATATATATATATATATATATATATATATATATATATATATATATATATATATATATATATATATATATATATATATATATATATATATATTCAAGCTGCTTAGTTCATCATAATGAAGATGGTTACATACTCGTATAAGTATTACTATTCATAACCCTGCTTTTCTTGTTTATAGAAAAAAAAGTTCTGCATACGAGGTTGATCCAAAAGTTACATCAATGTAACTATATCACAACTGCTACACAATATTTCAAAATTATCAACATTTTATATACTTATACCTCTACCTTTTTGTATCTTTGCCTTAAAATATCATTCAGATATATGCAATACTTTTTTTAAAATATCTTTTTTTATCGCCGCAGTACAAGAATGTTACCGATGTCGTTATGACGTTATACTTTTCGGCATTCATTTTCAGGTGTTCCATAATTTTTTTAATCTTTCATATATACCTTTTTATTACATGTACACTCCCAACTTGTGCTAAGGCGGTGGATTCAAGAGAAAGTGACGTGATGTGCTCATCTTCCACACACTTTCTTCTTCCAAGCATTAGAGAAACAATTAGAAAACATCCTACTTCTCCAACTTTTGAATTGAGGACGATTTATTAATGCAAACTAAATATATTTTACGATTTTTCTTTACTGATATGAGATAACTACGATAGAACATCTTTCCCTGCTGAAGATAAACAAATACATGTAATTTTATTAGTTTCTATACGGGTGTTTGTTTGATTTTTCGATTTTTTTGGATGAGGTCAGTCTTAAACACAAAATGATCATCCATTACAGTGCCATTCACTGCTTAATCTTGAAGTGCAATTGACACAGTCATCCACTCCTCGATTTAAAGTGAAAGTTCAAATCCTGATGCAGATTCTTTCTCTCGTTTTCTTCTATTCTGGATATTCCATGGTTGCTGAAAAGCAATGTTTTGCTAGATTATTTTTATATGCTACTCCTTCTTTCGTTTTGGTCTGATTTGAATAAAACAGGAGGAAGAATACACTATATCCTATTTCTGAATAGACTATAGGCTTATGTGAGTTCAGAGAGAAAATATAGTAGGCGTAGATGCATTTTTTCGATCAAAATTCTTACAAATAATTAATTGTAACTGCTTAATAATTAGGTCTTTCAGGATAACTCTCTTTTTAATTTGTTTGTAAAATAGTGTAAAGTTGACAATTTTGTTTTCGCCCGTTAATTTTCGCCCTTTCACGCTTGCAAACTATTTTGCCCCATCACAAATTCACCAAGACATAAATGTGTTGCGTAGAGAATGCTCTATTCTTTACATTCAACTCGTTTAAAATTTGCCCACTTGCAATTTGATTGAAAGAGGTGAAAATAAAACCGGGGCGGAAATTTCCCCTATAGAGTACACCAAGCGTAAGCAAATCCAGGTAGGATTTAAAAAAAAAGGAATATTGATTGATTGATTGATTGTTGTTTTACGTCCCGTTCGAGAATTTTTCACTCATATAGAGACGTCAACATACACCGGTGAAGGGCTTCAAATTTAGACCTATACTCGCCACTCAGGGTCAATGAGCAGTGAGGGTTCTTTATCGTACCAACGCCTACCGTGACACGGGGCCTCGGTTTCGAACACACGACCTTTCGATCACGGAGCGAGCGCTCTACCGACTGAGCTACCGTGACGGG